TCTCTCTCTCTCTCTCTCTCTCTCTCTCTCTCTCTCTCTCTCTCTCTTTCTACACACACACACACACACACACACACACACACACACACACACAAAATATAGTCTTTCCAAGGAGAGAGAGAACATCATTGTGCCTAGTTGTCGCAGGCAAGGTTCCTTGGTTGAAAACTCAAAGGTGCTATGCTACTTTTAATTGTTAATTGACCACAGCCTAGGATTACCTGGAAGGAAAGTCTCAATGAGGGATTGTCTGAATCTGATTGGCCTGTGAGCATGTCTGTTGGTTGATGGGAAGACTCAGTCCAGGGTGGGAAGTGCTCTTCTCTGGGATCCAGTCCTGGACTGTGTACGTGTGGAGGAAGTGAGCTGAACTGTAGGCATGCATTTATTCTTTCTCTGACTTGCCTATGGCTTGATTAGCTCCCTCGAGCTCCTGCCGCCTTGATGTACTCCCCAAATGGGTGGCAGCCTGGACACATGAACTAAAATAAACCCTTTCTTTCCTGAGTTGCTTTGTGATTTTGTCACAGAAACAGGAGTGGACATGGAAGAGATATTAAGATTTCTGTGTAGCAGGGTCCTTGGGTCCTTGAGAAGTTGCTGGGGTGATAGGGCCAGGCACTGGAGGAAGGAGAAAAGGGGGCTCAAGCCGTCCATCCACTGAGGCTTTTGACTAGTCAGCCAGTGTGTGCAGAATGCTCCCGAGAAGGGGCACAACTTCAGTTGTTCCTTTAGCCAAACAGTTTCTAAATAGGGGCTTAAATGTGATCTATGAGCAATTGACACCCGTGGCTGCTGGAAATTAGGTGGTCTTGGGACAGCCTGAGACTTTCCTTACAACATCGGTTTTATGTGCCACCGGGTGGATTTGGGGAAAAGGTGAGGATGGTTTGGACCAGCCTTACACATAGAGGTCACTTAGTGCTTGTTTGTATGACCTTTAATTCTTTACAGTCTCTGAAAGTAAATGTTGGGCTTGAGTTTTTATTACTGTGAGACACCTCCACTAGTGTCCCCAGTGACTGTGGGCTCCTGCTGAGTGCTTGCTATGTGTGTGTATCCTCTCCTAGCTGCCGCGCAATACACACAGTTATGCACTTTTCTTCTCAATTTACAGTCATCTCAGTGTTTCTCAAGCCTAATAGAGTCCCCATTAAGATAACAGTGACAGCATTCGTCACAGCATGTCACTTGTTAAACTTCGGGAAATGCTCTCATTGATGAGTCACTCATTGATTCAACCACTTACTAATCCAATCAGCCAATTTGGAGAGCCTTCCACACCGTAGGGGCTGTCCCAGGCAGGGAGGTACAGCTCTGTCTGTTAAGGGAGAGAAGACCATGGGCATTGCATACTTCAGCCCTTCAAAAGAAAATATTGAAAGCTGGACCACTGCTTTGTAGAGTCAGGATATGAGAGAGGAAAAACGGACTCTTTGCCTGAGTGATTCTTTGTGCCTTGCAGTTCAATGTGGCCTCCTTGGAAAGACTATGCTATGTGAAGCAGATACCTGCTCTTTCCTCTCCCTTAATCGCACTTTTTAACTTCATTCTCTTCCCTATGTTGGTCTTCCTCACTACACCACAGCTCCATGGAATAGAAAGATATTTTATCCCAGGGCCCAGCAGCATTAAGCATAGATGTCTTCATTACATGTGTGTGTGGATAGTTGGGGTATGGAGACTAAACCCGGGGATTCATCCATGCTAGCCCCTCCCCCACCACTGAGCTATGCCCACAATCCCAGCTCATGTTTCCTGAAGAATAAAATGAATGATGGATTTGCTTCACAGAGTCATTAAGGAAGGTCACTCTGTCTGTGCGTGTGTGTGATGTTCATGGTGATACCTGGTACTCAGAAGTGCTAAGATCAGGAAGCAGAAGGAATAGCTTGCCTATGGACCATGAAGTGGAGGAATGCAGCACACCTTAGCAGAAGCATAACTCAAGGGTTACTTCAAGCCACTTGAGATGCATTTGAAGTCGCTAAGCCTTAGAGGCAGGCCGAGCTCAGAGTTTACCCAAAGTGCAGTGAAGTCAGTGAGTGATTTTAACCTAAGGAATGACCCGAAATAATGCTATGTGTTTGTTTTTGTTTGGGGGTTTGGTTTTGATGATGATGATGATGATGTTTGAGGTTTTTTGTTTTTTGGCTTTTGCCTTGCCGCCAGGAGGCAAACTCCCTATATAACTGGGCCCAGCTACTATAGTTAGATGAATAGATGATCTAGCTTGGGTTTTAAAAGTATCCCAGGAGCTACAACTAGAGAGAATAATGAAGTATTGACACCAACTTGAAGTTTGGTGAGTGAAATATGGGTGTCTTGTGTAAGCACAGGGAAAGAGCAGAAGGATTTGAACTCTATTTTGGGCATCGAATGGGTAGGATTTGCTGTTACACTAGTTTGGAGATGTGCAGAAAAGAGAAGGGTCAGAGGTGACTGTCAGGCTTATTATGGTTTAGGATTGGATGGATAAAAAGTGCCTGTCACAGGGTGGGTGGATGAACAAAGTGTACCATATGCACACAATGAATTCTTAGTCATCGAACAACAAAAGTGCCAATAATAATGTTGCACTATAAATGGACCTTGTAAACATTAAAAAATGTAAACAAATGAAGGAAGACACCGGACTGTGGAAATAGCTTACTGGGTGAAGTGCTTGCTGCACAAACATGAGGAAGTGAATTCAGATCTTCCACACCCATGTAAAACAGCTAAGTGTGGTGGCCCGCACCTGTAACCCAGCACTAGCAGGTAGAGACCAGGAACTTGCTGGCTAGGCATGGCTGAGTGTGATATCATGCCCCTGTAACCCAGTACTAGCAGGTAGAGACCAGGAGCTTGCAGCCTATCAGAAGTTGTGAACTTCAGGGTCAATGAGGGCCTGCCTCAAAAAATAAGGTGGGGGAGTAATAGAGAAAGACATGCCGCCATCGACCTGTGGCCTCTGTACGTGTACTAGTGGGTGAGTGTACAAACAGATACTCACACACAGAGCCTGTGGGCATAAGAAGTCAAGTGCTGCCCTGTGCCGTGATCCATATCTGTAAATCCATCCACAGACATGGGAAGGAATCAGCATTTGTCACAGGCTGAGGAGAAGCAGGGATGGAGTCTGACAACCGAATGGCTAAATGATTCCCTTTGGAGCAATGGTGAGACCTTAGAATTAGATAGAGGTAGTGGTTGTCTACAGTACGAGGGTGCCAAATGCCCCCCAACCATGCACTTTAAGGTGCTTCACTTTGCACTGTGTGAAATTCACTTCAGTTTGTAAAAAGTTGGGGTGGGTGGCATGGGCATTCTGACAGTGGAGAGACTGTGTGGGACTGAACTACCCAAATCCATCGTATATCCATGAAGAGCATGCGTTTGATGTGGGTCAGAGTCTAGCAGGTGAGTTAGGGCTGGCATTAAAGGGCAGGTGCCAGCCCTCAGATTATGAAGCAGATGAGTTCTAGTGACAAAGGATGTGTGCCATTATTTAACGGGATGCCCATGGCTACCCTATAAAGAAACTGTGGTCCTTTTTTAGACAATGGAACCAAAAATGCGCCTCCCACCTCA